TCTTTTGCTATATCCATCACCTTGTCTGCTGCTTCTGCTGATTCGTTGCTAGCATACTTGGTAAAATCTACAGGATCTGGTATATGAGGAGGCAGGGCACTTCTAACTAGAGCCCAGTTCACTCCCTCAAAAAATGGGTGCTGTTTTATTTCTGTGGCACCCCTTATATATGCAATGCGCTTTGGAGGTTCCTTCACTAGCAATCCTTTGATAAGGTCTTTTGCTGCAGCACTTACCTGGGGAGTGTCTGGGAACCTTAAGGGCTGTCCTACAACATTGAAAAGTGTAGCTCTATTTCCAGCGCCTTTGAAGGGCGTTGTCCCATGTAAAAGCTCATACAAGAAGATCCCAAAAGTCCACCAATCTACTGCACTGCCATGACCTTCTCCTCGGATGATTTCAGGTGCAAGGTATTCATGTGTCCCTACAAAGGACATTGACCTCACATCTGAAGGCTCTGCCATGAATTCAGGGAGGGCTCCTCCATTTATGAGGCCGAAATCTGACTTTGATTTTCGGTTTTTCTTTGATGGTAAAATGCGCGGGAAGAAAGTTGATGATTGCACACTACTCTGCACTGCTTGCTGGTCATCCAAAATGGCCCCAGACCCACCACTACTGCCATTGCTACCACTTACATGTGCAGATGAAGACTTGATGAGTGTAGGATTGACTGAGCAGCGAAGGGATAGGTCAAAATCTGAGAGCATTATATGGCCTTCATCTCTGACTAAAACATTCTCTGGCTTCAAGTCTCTGTACACTATGCCAAGCATATGCAGGTACTCAAGAGCTAACAATATCTCTGAAGCATAAAACCTAACATGAGAATGCAAACACAGAGTTCTTAGATTGCTTTTACAGTCTAATATCAGAAAGCAGAATCAAATTGCTGCCATAAATCATTTAAATTAAATAGAAATTTTGCTTTTGTGAAGATTAACAGAGATGGTCAACTTTGTTACAGTCATGAAGACGTGAGATTAACTAGTTGTGCCCAACGTATGAAAGTTACTTGTGATGTATTCTTATTCTCATATTTTTACAACACAAAATAGGAAAATAAAGGGAGAGGACAAAAGAGTACAAATATATATATTTTTTAAAAAAAAATGGTTGATTTACTGTGGTAAACGTGTACAAAGAAGGAGGCAGAAAAATGGAAAAGTTGAGGAAATCTTGGACACAAGTCCCCTTCGGAAGTTGAAAGAAAAATGCTGTGGAACCCTGGATAAGAGGATGAATATAAGAAAGAAATCAAATTCAAATCAACAGATTTCACCAACAATCTAAGATACCATGGAACTACTACTACTACTTCTTCTTGGCAACAGACACGTTATTTCACAATCAGAGTAACTAAGGAAATAATCTCTTCTATTGTTTTTTTCCCCATTTTCTTTTACGGTATATCAGATTCAATTGTGGACTGGTTATCAACCTATATTATCGTAATAGAGGCGCCCTTTTCAAGAAAAAAGCGAACAAGGTATAAAAGGAGATTCAAACATGTGAGAAGTTTTTGACTGCTAAGGTTTATATAGTTACGTGTCTTTTAATGATTGATCTGATCTGGTAATTTTTTCGCAGATCGAATTAACTTGAAAATCTTTGTTAAATATATGTTGATTAAGAAACCATGAAATTAGATTAGTCACTAACCGTGCTGCTTCTTCTGTGAAATGCTGGTTTGGCTGCTTCTGTCGAAGAGAGTGAAGGTTACCTCCACTGCAGAACTCCATGACCAAACAATAGAACTTATCAGTTTCAAAGTAAGAATACAGAGTGGGTAAGAAAGGGTGGTCAAGAAGTTGAAGAATCTCCCTCTCTGTCTGTGCTCTTAGTAGTTTGTTCCTACTTATAAGAGCTGCCTTGTTCATCACTTTCATGGCAAAGTAAGTCTTAGTTTTTCTGAGTTCTACAAGGTACACACTCCCAATATCCCCATAGCCAATTCGCTTGAGAAGCCGAAAATGGCTGAGATCAAGATGGGCTCCTCTAGAAACCATGTTAATGGCATCCCACCTTACATCACCACCAGTATGTGGCTTAATGGGCGCACTTGTGCTTTCTAAACTGTCACTACGAGAGCTGTTTCCACTGCCATGGCCATGGTTATTGGTTCTTGAGGGCGAAGGAAAGCCCCTGGTGATTCCTGTGGTTACTGTAGATGGGGTAGCTTGAGGATCAGGATTTGCAGACATCATCTTCTTGGTGGGTAGTTCTAATTTCTGGAATTCAGATGTCTTTTTTGCGGCCTGGTTTGGCTTTTTGAGATGCCTTGGGGAGCCACATGCTGTATCAATCTGATAACCCACTGGCAAATCGTCTTTCATCTTAGTACAAGGAAGAAATTGTATCAGAAAGAAAGTTTACAACTAGTTGTGGAAAACATGGGAAAATCTCAAAACAGAACCCCATATGAAAAGCCACAGCTTAATAGTTTAAAATAACTGTTCAGTCTCTTTCAATATCTATTAAAATAATCTTCTCAGGCAAAAATGTCTTAGGTACCAAAGTGAAGCCATATATAGATTGTGATTCTAATTTCAATGTAATTTTTTTTTGCCAACCTAATTTCTATGTAATAGCAGATACCATAAATTTACAAAAAAGTGTAACACACAAGAGTGAAGTATGTTAGAATTCACTCACTCTCTCCCCCCCCCCCAACTATATATTCTTTCAATCTCTCTCCAAAAATGGCTGTGAAAGTTATGCATTAAACAGTTCCTTGGTCAAAATGAAGCAAGCATCCATTAATTAATGAAATATTTTTGTTCTTGAGTAGGTGATGTTTGTGTTGAAATAAAGAGACATGGTAGCTGCCCTTACCTCAAATAAACCAGCCCTCAAGAAATTCTCTGCAGAAAAAGAAAAATGTACGTAAAAATATTGAAAATTCTTAACTAGGCATAATAAATAAGATATCTAAGTCCTTTGCACATCTTGAAATAATTCACTCCTGTTCAAATATTAAAAGAAAGGAAGAGGGTGGGTCCCACCTCTACAAATGTGGTCTTCTTGAGGTGGGGCCCTTGTATGGCATTTCAGAAGATTCAAATGAGCAAAGCAACTATAATTATTGTGAATGCGTGTATTGTATCCATGGACTAATGCACATGAATTTCTTGTCAGGATAGAAGATGTACGAAAGAATAAAAAAGAAAAAACACATTAAAAGGCAAAAAGAAAGTCCTTATTGTTGATCATGCACAGCACAAATCAAAATGTCAAGGACGGCAAGAACTGAAAATTCAATTCATGGCGAGCATGTAATAAAATCTGACGCAGGCAAATAGGAGTGCTATGGTCAATGTATATCAACACAAAGACATGTGAATTATTAATGACATATAGGAAATGGATATTTGGAAGTCAACCAAAAGTTGTTAATTGAAAGAAAAACTCCAAATGCATTACACTGATAGAATGCAAATCAGATCATTAAGATTTTTAGGAAAGGAAACTTTCAACTCAAAGTCTTAAGATACACAAATTTAAAAAAAAAAAAAAGGAAAAAAAGATATTGATGTAAGAAGGACAAGATAGAATCACCGGGTGAGAAACAGAATTTAGAGAAATTAGGACAGACCTGAACTCAAAATGACAGCAACCTGATCACTGCTCAGGCTTTGAATTACCAAGAGCCTTTTTGAATTGGAGAAAGAAAAATAAGTCAGAGAGAAGCGTTAATTGAAGCCAAAGATAAAGGTTAAAATGTGAAGAAGGCTATTGATTAATGGTTAGGGAGGAAATGACATATGAGGGTATGGAAAATGAGCAGGTTTCTTGATTGCATCATAAGAAACACGATTGAGAGTTCTTTTGAGGAATTTTTTGAAGCGAAAGGGAAGAATATGGAAGCAGAACCACAACTAGAAAAAACCATAACTTATTACAGAAATATCAAACAAAAAAATTGTTGGATCATCAACTTTTGTTTTGAGATCAACAGATAGTCTTTAACCAGAAACAAAAATAAGGAGAGATAGAGAGAAAAAATGGTCATTTCTGAGAAGACGAATGGATAAGCGTCTTATTCTCTGAAATAATGGCTTAATTCCTATTTTAACCACAAAAAAATGCTCTAACTTCCACGTAGCCAAATCTTTCACTCCCCCACGTTTCCATCTTTTTCCATCTTCGACTTCTTCTCCTATCTTGGCTTTGCAATGTCCATACTCTATATCTATATCCTGCTTGGTGGCTATTGTATGAAATGTATGAGATTGATATTATAAGTTACGATCTTTTCTGGATATGTTTTGCCGAGTAGGTTGGAGAGAATTTTCACTGGAAACAAAATATATGATAATCATCATAGGCACACTGGCAGAGGCATCAAAGCAAAATGCCAAAAATATTTTGAAAGGAAAAATCTTCAGAGACCCCATAAGGAACTTATTCGCATTTAGATCATCCGTGCCTATAGATTAATAAGTGCGTAGTGTTAGTGGATTTTTTTTTTAATAGAAACTGTATATCTATTAATCACAAAAGAAGAAAGTCAAGGTTACAAGCAGAAAAAGAAATTAAAAAAAAATCATCCCTTTTATCTTTTTGGATAAGTTAGGCTGATCCTTTTAAACTTAGATGAGCAAAACCTTTTTAAAAAAAAAATAGTAAGAATTTATATCAATATTTCCTTTCTTTATTGATATTTCAGTATCGTCCTTTTCATTATTTGCCTTTTCAACATTCATACAATTATATATTTCAAGAAAAAGTCACAGTGATGTGAGATTATATTAGAATATGTACGAATATACTTTTCTTTACAGCCATCGTCTCTCGTCGTTGTCTTTCCAGCAGTATCATAGACAATCTATCTGTTATTGCTAATGATCTAAATTACTTTGATTTTTTTTTTTTTTGGTTTTACATTACTAGGCGAGCGGACATCAGCCAGCATCTTGATTTCATTTTTCTTCATTACCTAAACTTCTATTCGAATTGGGTTCAGCATCGATCATGTCTGAAAATGAGAAACAACCTAATTGGTATGAGACTAATTATTAATTGCTTGGAAATTGAAATTTGATACAGCAAAATAACTTAAAGAATTGGGGTACAAACTATTATGTTTCTTGATTAAACATGGTGTACGAGACTAAATTTTGTTCCTCATTCCATGTGACACGATCTACCATACATTGTACACATCAGAAATGAGATACCAATTTCTTCAACCTAGTCCTAAATTCCAGTAATTCAAACGAAGAAACTTGTATGAACTCTGAGAGCTGGAAAACTCATCTATTTATGCGCTTGAAAGTATTCTTCACTAAGATAGGAGTGCTAGGTGGATTAACAGAATAACAGTCATGGTTCCACGGCATCAATATTCTTCTGCGTAGAAGAAGAATAATGAGACTCAAGCTCTTTAAGGCTAGCGGCAGCTTCTTCTCCAATTCTAGATAACATTCTGTCTGTCTTTTCCGCTAGTTGGTTAAATTCAACCACTCTTTGCTCAACATGGTCATTTAGAGAAGCAAATCCTGAAAAAATTGCCGTCTGCTTCAGCTCTGACACCAATTTAAGAAGGGAATCAGCTGCTTGGACCTGGGTCGTTGACCAATGCAAGAAGAGAAACACGGTGAGGGAAGAATCAGACCTTAAGTTAGAAAAGCTAGCACTAATACTGTCAAACTGCCAAACAAACTTAAACCATATGATCAAGATGTTACCACTAAGACTTCCGTTTCAGAAAGTACTGAATATAAATAAGACATACACACACGTATTGGATTGCTATCCATAGTTCGATTATGAATTTACAACACGGAACATAATGGCACTTGATTATAATATGTGAGATATATGCTTACAGTTTTAGGGTGCATACACTCCTTGGCACTTCTAATACAAAAGTAAGAAAATGATAGATGGTTTTTGCCCCCAACAATCGTTAGAACAATGATGCATATTGCTTGGAAAGGAAAGGCACTCCATGGTTGCACAGAAGAATAAAATAGTCAGAATTTCAATCCTACCATTCTGGCAGCACGCATTTCCATCATAAAAGCTTCCTGTGAATTTCTAACTGGTGGATCATTTACCTGCAGGAATGAAATATTGCATGAATTGACCACACAGATGAAATTTAGCGCAGAGGATACTAGGAAGTGATTGGGAGGGAAAAAACCAAGATTCCAAGACTGCAGCTCACGTCATTGGAAAATGACCAATCATTCAATCACACACGAATACATTCACAATTCCCAATAGTTACAAAAACTCCTTTTATGAGGTCAACATTAGTAAACCAAGAGGACCAGGAGTGTCAATATCAACAATTGTATCAAATGAATTCAAAGCCCTATCTATGGAGAACCTTGAGAAAGAAAAATATTCACAATCATAAATTTTCCAAAATGCAAGGGTGACTTAATAAGAGACAAAAGCTGTGAAAATGCAGAATGTAATCAAACATACCCTAGCAACATTAACAAGGTGGCTGAAATTATCCACAATATTGGCGATGTCACCTTCTACCCTTTGCACCAAAGTCTTTTGCTTCTGAGTAGCAGCTGCAGCCGCTGCAGCAGTCGGGCCCCTTCCTGCACCACCTCCAATCCCACCCCCCAATACTCCTCCACCCGCCGGTCCACCTTTGTTCATCCTTGCCCTTATCCACGTACCAGGGGAAAATTACTATATAGATTTACGCATAAAGAGCAAAGTGAGAACATTTCCCTACAAATTCGGAGCCAATAAATTCCCACATCCAAACAAAGAGAAAGCAAACATTTTTTGTAATTATTAGAGGCAAGCCCATAGAGACCCGCAATCAGGAAACCTAACCGAGCTGGACATTGATTCATAATATGTGAATTCTGCAGGTTTATCATCGAACAAGCGTTTTCTCAATTCAAATTTTCCAATATATTCGAGAGGGAATTTCAAACTAATACGCGAAAATGGAGATGAAATGTGAACTAAGAAGCAAAGTAATTCGATTCCCAGGTTGATGGTGAAGGATAAGAGAATGAACGACTAACCTGAATGTAAACGTAGATGTGTCGGAGTTCGGTGTGCTGTTCTTGTCGTAGTCGTAGGCTCGTGGCCTATGGGGTGGTATTATGGTTCCGGGACAGCGGAGGCCCCTTCGGAATTGAGCCAGTGACTCTGGGAAGCAAAACGGAGGAGACTAGTCCACAGTCGAGGCGAACGCCTTCTTGTCAGGTGCATAAAAAAAATAAAATAAAATAAAATAATTGGTTGTATAGTTTGATGAGTTTTTTAATCGTAATTTACAGAATATGAAATAAATGCATGAAAGGTTTTGTATCGGTTTACATAAAAATATGTTTGTAAGTAATTTCAACCGTAATAACAAATATGGCCTAAATTAGTTTAAATGTGTTAATGAAATTTACAAGTCCCTAGAAATAGTTTATAATTAACTTAGAGAAATACAAGTTGTCTCTTTGAAAATAGTAATCGGAATACTTTAGAATTTAAATGAATTCTAGAGATAGTACTTTTTTGATCCTCAATATAAACCCATTTAATAATTTGATTAGATTAAAAAATTAGGTAAGCTAGTTAATTATAAGAAAATGACACATTTTTCCTAAAACACCATAATCATTTTTTTAATATCTTATCTCCTTCTTCTACTTGATTATGATTGAAGGAGTATCCATATGGGTAATTTAGAGAAAATTGATAAATATGAGAATAAATCTTAATATTTAGGATCAAAACTAACTCAACAATTAAGTCCTATATTAAGAATCAGAAAAGTGTACAAGAATCAATAACCACAAATTTTGAATTTGATCACTTTGGTTCAAGCAAATATCAACTTAGGCATAGTGGCGGGAGTTATTCGTTTAATTGCATGTTGTGTAATTGAAGTTTGGAATGTTCATCATGTACGAATTGGAGACAGTTTCCTAATACACTTGCGATTGCAATAAACTTAAACAAAAGTGAAACATAAAACTTACGTAAGATTGGTAGTTATCTATCTAAAGTCTACGTTCAAATCCAGCTTTATGTGATTTCTTGTACTTTTAATTAGTAAATCCAAAAGTATTGTAACTTCCAGGGAAGAAACGCTTTGTGGGCTGGATTTCTTGTATTGATCCAGTTTAGCATATTGTAATCTCAAATACATATAACAAGCTAATGATTTGTAATAATATATGACATTTTGCTTTTGTAAAGGAAGAGGTTTTTTATTTGATCTTGTGGCTAACTTCAAACTATTTTATCTTTTTTTTACCCAAAAAAAAAATTTATTAGCGTATGTCTTCCTAGTTAAGAAAATATGTTAACAGCCTACTACAACACCATGTATAATTACAAAAGAGCATATGTAAAATTATATCTTATTACCTTCGATCCTAATTATAAGATATCATTTATAATTTACAAATGAGTTTATAATTAGGACCGAAAATAGTAGCTATTATAAAATATTAAAAATTATATGTACATAGCAAAACCCATCCATTTTCAGGACCTAATCCCTATTATCTCACCATTGTCCACATATTGTTGTGAACGCCATAGCAACTCTTTTAGGGGTGTTTGTATTTTTTAAGATAAATTTTGTGTCAATTTATATAAAAATATTTTTTTAATTGATTCTATACTTAGTAAGTATTGTTTTTTCCTAAAATATTCTTGTTAATTATTATTATATTGGCTAGAATTATTATTAATATAAGAACTACCTTAACAAAATAGATAAATATAAAAAATAAAATTAATTAAAATTTTGTATTTAAAATTAAAATAAATGTAAAGAGGGGCGCAGTATTTTTCAAGCACTTCCTAAAGCAAAGCAGACATCTTCATTTCCCTGCTTTGTAAACTCAGGAAGACGGATTTGCATTGGGTGCTCATCAAGCTGATGAGCACCCAGTGCTCATCAGGATCTGGACCGTCCAGATCCGATCTGGACGGTCCAGATTTTATTTTATTTTTATTTTTATTTTTTAAAAATAATTATTTTAATAGGTATAGAATAAAAAATAAAGATAATTTCTTAACTATCATACTTTTAAAAAATAATTTTTTTATTTTAAAATAATTATTTAAAAATATAAATATGGACCGTCCAGATCAATCTGGACGGTCCAGATTTCTCATCACTTGATGAGCACTGGGTGCTCATCAAGTGATGAGCACCGAATGCAGGCCCGAAGGGTCACCAGGTCCACCACCGGAACCGCCAGTGTTGCACCCAGCAGTGGAACCACTTTCCTACCTTCTGGGCTCATGGAGAGGCCAGGGAGAAGGCGGCTTCCCTACCATAAATTCATTCTCTTATGGCGAAGAACTTCAGTTTTCCCATTCTGGGAATAAGGTATCCTATACAAAAAATAACCGCTTATATGATTTTTTTTTCCTTGGATTTTTCATGGGTTTGGTTTTGAATCTGTGAAAACTCGGGGACGAAGATTACAATTTTGTTTTTGATTGAAGAATTGACTTGGGTTTTTCTTTGTTGTGTACGAGATGAGACAAGCCCGTCATTGGGTATACCCAGAAGACTTGGAAACTCAACTCTGGCGAGCCAATGCACGCCGAGAGTGGATACTGGCGTCCAAAGCCTGATGGTGCTATTGAAGTTGTGATTGCGCAAAGCACGGGCCTTGTTGAAGTTCAGGTACTGTGTCTTGTTATTGATGAGAGTGCTTTAACATCCATACAGAGATTTTTACCTTTTTACATTCGTCTGTTGCCGATAAACTGTTCGACAAATTGCCTGCTTTATTTCATACTTGTCTCTACTTTTAGTTTTAGTATTTAACTGGTGCGCGATGATGAATTTCTGTGTAGGCGTAGGCTGCCACGTCATCTGTGAGCAGAGCATTCACAGATGAGTGAAACAGAAATTAAAATGATTAATTAATTACATTAACGAGTTTGAACTTGAATGTTTTGAATCATTTTTGACTAATATTAATTAGTGGGTCTATACTGGCTGAACCAGCACAAGAATACTCATGGCACACTCGCCTCACGATACGCTGGGAGATTGCTCAAGTTAAATATTTGACAAATATTCGCGGTATAGAAGGGCTTTTGGTACCAGAAACAAAACAGAGAGAATGAAAACTAAGAAGCTCCATTTCATAAATATGGGAAGCTTTCTTTTCAAGAAAGCCACTTGATTCCATTTTTGGCTCTGCTGTAAATTGCTTTTTCTTTGCTTAGATCCTTTTTCCATGTATCAGACGCAGCCTAATGTTCGAATTAATTCCTACCTTGTCAAATAACCTAGGTATGATTTTCCCATATATCTACACTTCGGAAGTTCCATTACGCACTACCAGCATGCTCCTGGTTGCCGAAGGTGCTTTGCAATAATTATCTTGATACATTGCTTTCTACCTGCTGGCTGGTTTTCTACCGTTATATGCACATAAAAGCCTTAACTATTGCTTAATTATCCTAGAAATAAGATTTTTCTATTATCTTTTTTTTTTTTAGTTCTGTTGTATTTTTTTTGCTTCTTCTGATATGTCCCTCGCATGTGTCATCCAGAAAGGGACATATAATGCAAAGGACAAGGTGATAGAGCTTCAAAGTGAGACAGTGGGGAATGCTTCTGAGGTAATAAAATTGGACTCTCAAAAATACAACAATGCAAGTGATTCCTGTTCATTCATGCATAGTTTGCATCTCTTATATTTTGCAAGTTTTTTCCCTTGTGATAAAAAAGGTGACGGTTACAACTTAGATTTCATTGTAAATATAAACCAGTTACCGAAGTTTGGTACAACAAATATGTCAGAAAAGCATATAATAATTCTGTTTTTCTTGAGCGTGTCATAATTCTGTGTTGAACTTTACTATTTGAGCAGGAAGATACTATCCAACCATGCTGACGTTAACATATGGCTTTACCCACACACACACACATGCTCTCTTAGATTAGATTGACTATTAGATTGCCATCAGCCTTAGCTAGTTATAGTAGTGGGAACTTTAGGGCAGAAATATATCCCCTCCTCTCCCCCTTCACATGATGCAAATTATACCAAATCTTTTCTCATCCCGCACAGGTTATGGAGATAAGACGACTGTTCCAGCTGGTTGATGGCAATCTTTGTTATGAAGTTCAGATGGCTACCAATACAGTAGGTCTTCAACCACACTTAAAAGCAGCGTTGAAGAAGCTCTAGACTGAAGCTTTCTCATTCTATGGAAGGTGATATTGAAAAAGAATGCGAGTCTTGCATTGGAGAGTCCAATGGTTCTATATTTCTTTAGACAGCAGTTTAAGCCAGCTTAATCATGACATACTAGTCAGCATTTTTTACTCCTTTTGAACGTGCTTCATGAAGAAACCAAGTCCTTTACTGAGGAATATTTTATTGTCTTGTTCTTTTGCCATCTTCATGGTTTATATGTAGCTATACTCTCTTTTTTTTGGACAAATATTTGTAGCTATACTCTCATGTGCATTGAATGCCGCAATCTACGGAGTACCAACAAGATGCAAAACGGTCTCTCTCCTTTTATGATGTTTCTTCTATCCTGGATTGCTTTTTTTGGTCTTATTGACATCAAAATCCTTTTCCTAAAACTCAAATGAGGCCCTGCTTGATATCTTCTGAAATATGCTATGGATGTGCGAACTGAATTTGGGCCCATTGACGAATGGCTGGAGAATGATGGTTGTGACCATAATCGAAGCACGATGTAGCCAGAAGTGCCAATTGGAGACCCCAAGAAGATATCTTAAAGTGCTTTCCATCTGAGGGACATTCTTTGTCATTGGCATCATTTTCAGAGATAAAATTGGAATCCTGTTTCTCTTCGTGGACGCGTAGTCAACGCCACCTGTAGGCGCCTTATGCTTAATTTTGGACATCAATGTCCTTAATAGAACTACTGCTGAGAATCAAGGTTTATTTGTGGACAATAGATGTTAGATTATTCATTGGACCCCCAGGAATCCGAAATTAGCAGGTGAATGGCTTGCTAAAGAACGTCACAAAAGGGTGATGGGATCTTAATGGCCCTCCCCTTTTGCTGCTTTAAAATTTACATGTGAGTTAAATCGTGATTTTTGTTGTGAAACTTGTAAATATTTTAAAAATAAAAATACGACCGCGATTTGATCAAAACTTTTTAAGAGGCGCCTATCAATAACAAATCTAACTCCTAAGTGGTATGGTGCAGAATTGGGAAGGACAAAACACAACTTGAAATTTATTTAGTTACGCGTGATCAGGAAATGCAAAACCAACTTCTACTCTAATCTTATTTCCGAGAAAATCATAAACAAAAATACTCAGCACGTCATTTTATGTGAACTAAAGCCATCATCCAACATTTATATCAGCCTAGAAAAATAGATTTTGTAAATAGAGAATGTCACGTGTATCACTAAGACTCAGACAAGTGACGCACCACAAAACGTTACCTTCCCTACCCAAAAAACAAAAACAAAAACAAAAAGGACAATCAAAACTTATGTATGAAGTTAATCCCAGCCGCTAGCAGGAATATTCTCGACTCCGGAAACAGGTGCTTGTGGAGGTGGGACGGCTTCACCCCAGTTCCCTACTGCAATAAGAAATTGGTTCAGCAAATGCGAATTCATGACCCTTAAACAATAGAACACGCACATGTGCACCGTAATTTAATTTAAAACAGAAATTCTCTATCAGATGCATAGTATTAAACGAAAGTGAAGACAATGAGAGTCCACTGTGACTGTTATGGCCATATATCAATAAACTAACACATTTGCAGGGCCAACTATCATGGAAGGGGGTAAAGATAGATTTAATCTAAAATAATCATAGTAAGCACAAATTAAATTTAACATAACATGAGTAAGGAGCCAACTTTAATCAACTATATAGATTTACCTGCAGCTTCTGAGGTCCAGCTGACACCAGGAACTGCTGGAATAGGTTGTGCTACTGGTTCAGTCCATGATTGATCAGCTGCAACAGGCCACTGGCCATCAGCAATGGCACCAATACTAGCACCAAAATCTGCAGCGGCATAATTTTGGACAGCAAGCGCCTCCTCTTCCTCTAGTTGCTTGGCTTCCTCAGGCTCCCTATAGAAGAATAAATCCACCTGCATAATAGAAAATTTGAGACCACCAAGAATTTGAAAGAAACTTGCAAACAGAGCTGCATCCCTTCTAAATAGGTCCTAATAAAAGCGGCAAATACTCTACCATCACATCCCACTTAAGCCCTGGACGAATAGTACCACGCATCTGCAGCACCATCCTTGCTAAAAGCCAAAAGAGACAACCAATGCTATGTTTCCCCTTGTTATTGGCAGGAATCCCAATGTCAACATATCGCATAGGGGAATCAGTGTCACAAAAGGCAATGGTTGGAATATTTCCAAGAGCAGCTTCCTTGATGGGCTGCACATAAACCAGTACCAAAAGAAAAATGTGAGCATAATAAGAAGATCAACTCCGATTAGAAGTTTAACCTATTCACGAAAATATGACATCTCAACAATTCACATAGAGAATTAATGACCTGATGGTCCGTTCTTGGATCAGTTAGAATTAGAAGGCGAGGCTCACTGTAAGAGGTTTGGAGCTGATTTGTGAATGTACCAGGAGTGTGTCTCCCGGCAAGTGCATGGGCCCCAGTGTATTGAGCAAACTTGAGAACGGCTCTCTGACCATAAGGCCTAGCAGACTGAACAATGATATCTTGAGGGTTCTCAGTGGCAACAATAACCCTGGCAGCAAGCTGAAGCTTCTCCCATGTTTTTCCAAGATTAATGATGTAGATCCCTGATTATCAAAATAACCAAAATCAACAAAGTAACAGACAAAAGCATGCAACCTGCCACAGACTATTACATCATATCATAATACTACATTAAAATTGAAATTCTTGAGATGAAATAAATTTGAACTTCAAAATCATGAAACATTGAAATTCAAGTAAACTATCACACTACTACCTCATTAAGTTGTTCCCACTCCCCAGGTCCTTGCCAATCCATTAATTCACATTTCCCGAAAAAAATAGTATTTATCTTTAAATACCTATAGAAGAGTTCTTATGGTTAACTGAATATTAAGAATAACGAAAACATGTTTTGATTATCCAGAGGTACAGAACCTTGGTTTTTCAATAAATTTATAGAGGCATATGGCCTGCTTAAGAACCCTCTTACTCACTATTTCTTTCTTTCTTTCTGCACCAATGAGAACGTAATTCCCAGAGTACAATGAGGAAAAAAAACGACAAAAAAATTGTTCAGGCAGTGAAGAGACTAGGCAAAATATTTTCGGAGCACCCCACCGCAAAAATATTTTAATCCTACCAAAAGGTGAAAAGAAGCTCAAATATTGACGGCGACACTGAGACATTAAATATATAAAATTCAAATGCAACATAGGTGTCACGAGAGTAAATACATAACAGAACCCACTTGGAACCCGATTGCAAACTATCGATGCATGGATACAAGGAAATTTTATGAATTCATCAACACATGTGGCACTCTGAAACATATACGCTCGAATATCAATAATGAAATTTCAGTAAAAAAAATATCTTTAATTAAAATGCTCCATCTCATAAACTGATGTATTGAGATATCTGGGAGTTCAACACTAACCGTCGTTGCGGCGCTTGAACACATATCGTTCCATTTGGAAGTTGCAGTTCTTGGTACCGAGGTGGACCTCGGCGGCCAACATCATCTGGATATCAGCTTCCTTCTGGGAGAGCTGACGCGGAGGAGCAGCGGCGGCATTTGTGGTGGTAGCCATGGTTGCGAGCAGGAGAACTACCGTGGAGCTCTCTTGTGTTTGAGATGCACAACTCTCAAGTTGAAGGTGCAGCACAAAACTAGAAGGCCGTAATGCCGAGGGCTTTAGAGCTTCTCCACGTTCTGCAGATAGAACGTACGAAACCCTAGTTTAGTAAATGACGAATATACCCATCTCACCATGTAGATTTTTTCCCGTTTTGGGCTCAGGTGTTTTCGGGTCCAAAATTGGGCTGGCAATTTTTTAAACAGATTAAGAGAGTGTTTGGAGAATAATTTTTAGAAAATAGATTTTGTGAAAAAATAACTTTAATAAATAAAAGTGTTTGAATGATTATTATCAGAATTATTTTATATATATAAATTACTAAAAATTATAGAAGTTAATATGATGATTACATAAAAAATACATTTTATAATATGTTAATTTGAAAGAATAAAATTGTTAATAATATATTTTTTACCCACATAATTAATAATATATAAGATAATATAATTAATAAATAATTGAGATGTATATATATTTATAAAATATAAGATTAAATATATTTATATAAAAATGATTTTTTTTGCTAACAAAAAAATATTAATTTGCTTGAAAGATTTTAAACATGAAACAAGGAATGAATAGTTGAATGGTGTAAAAATCATATACCGTTAGAATGGATTCTGACAGGCACAATCTTACTCTCCAATTTAAGCCAGAAACTAATGGATTTACTTTCTCTAAAACTATAGTGTAGCCTGAAACCATAGTTTGTTGATTTTTCCCCTGTTTAGCAAATTTTTGCCCCAAACTGCAGTTTGGATCCAAAAACCATGATTTGTGTAATTTGCCAAACAGGTCCTAAAACTAATGAAAGATGTACACAAAATTGTTAGCTTTCATTTTTATGAGAAACGAAATTATTCTAATAATTAAACTAAAACATTTATGTGATTCAAGACAAGAAATTATTGTTTAAGGGGAATTCCAATGTAAAAACAAAGAGATGGCATGATAAAATGGACTGAAAAATACGAAAGTTATAAGCTATGAAAGCGATGGGCAACAATGTGAATAACAAATATTAGTTTTCGCAAATTTCAATTTGTAATTGAGAATGCATAATCAATTTTAAAAAGAGTTGAAGTGAAAATTTGTCTAGAAAGTTTTCACTCAAGAGTATTGTGCCTCCGAAAGCTTTTGTGAATGCTAGTCTGTTCTGAAAGTTTTAAAATCATGACAATGTTATCCCATTCCCATACCACTAAAAGCGTTAATGATTAATGCTAATTTTTTAATGATAGGAGATGAATATTGTTACAATTCTAAATTTTCATGAATAAATTTGCATTTCAAAAAAATCTTTAGATGCTCAGCTCATAAGTAAAAACTTTCAAATAAGTATACCTTAATCATTCTAAAAGGGCCTAATGTGGTTTCATATCCTTACATGAGAAAGAGATTGATTTGGATAGAGCAAACGAACATGAAATAAAGTGACCACATTTGTTATATTGCTCCAACTAGCTACTTCGTACTTATTAATTTTGATCTTTAATATAAAAATTAGTTCAACATTTTAATTTTGATTTAAATATAAAACCTAATTCACTTTATCTCTTATATTTATTTATTTATTTTAAAGTAATCTTATAGCAGTTGCACATGTTAAAGATTTCATTAAATGGTAGTTTATAACCAAAACATATGATTAGTAGTAATATTCTAAGAAAGACAACACCTATTTATTACAATATCTAACTTAACAGATTTTCTCAATCTATTCAAATTAATCAATTAATTCTAATATTAAGGACTAAATGTACTAATTATTTGGAATTGCAATCTCAATACTAGTACCATGTGATTAGGCTCCTCTATGCCAATTCCTCAGAGCCGATTCATCCACTACTCACACCTGTATTATCAAATACTTTAAAAACAATCCCATCAACAATACTCATTAAAAATAACAGAATCAACTCAATAGACTGAATAGCACATTGACTATAGACAAGCAAAAGAAATAAGCTTATAACATGAGAAGTCATCGACTCTTCTAGCCAAAAAATAGAGGCTATGATGCAAAAATCACTATCAAAACTACGAGATATCTATGCTAAAAAAGGGCATATTCGTTAGTTTTTCTACACATATAAAATGAAGTTAAATTTGCCACTCCCTTCAAAAGAAAATGCTTGAATTTTCCTTAACCCTGTGTCCATGTCCCAAATCAGAGATGTCTGATTATTGCAGTGCCTTATATATTTCTACCTCCTTTTCTTAATATAAGAATTAGTTAACTATTTTGAATAGATTAAAAAAATTATCAAGTTAATTATTTGTAATAAATAGATATTATCTTACTAATGATGTATAACTAGAACTACCATATAATAAAATATTTAACATGTGCGACTATTACAAGAAGTATTTTGAAAAAAATAAATAAATATAAGAGATAAAGTAAATTAGAGTCTTATATATAAAATCAAATTAAATATCAAATTAGTTTTTATAGTAAAAAAATGGAGATAGTATTATACAAAGCTTCCATCCATATCTTGAAAGTCCAATCCACTCTAGGAGCTAATCTCATGCACACTCTTTTTTTTTTTTGAAATAATCTCATGCACTCTCTTATTAGTAAGAAATCCCCGTAAGAAGTTCTCCATTTTCGTTTCAATGACATGACAACATTTGAGAAGGTAACTATTACTGCCTCAATCATAATATAAAAACTAGTTAGTTAATTTGAGTAAATTAAGAAAATTAGTTACGTTAGTTATTTGTAACAAATAAGTGTTATCTTTCCTAAATATCCCTACTAATCAAGTTCATTGGTTAGGACTACTATTATTAGAAAGACTATATTAAAAAATGAATAATATGAGAGATAAAGTATATTAAGATTTTATATTTTGGAACCAAAATAAAGTTAAATGAGATCTTATATTAAGGACTGGAGGTAGTATAATGGTTTTAACCTTCACAAAATTTGTTTCATCTGGGTTAAATATTATTACTAACCAATAAAACTAATGTATACCTAATATATTTGGAAAAATAAATAATGGATCAACTTAGCTATTTATTAGAAAATATAAAACACACATATATATCGCCACGTACCCTACAGGGAGACTTTACAGCAGTAGGGTTAAAGATAAAATTACAGTTTCTAGCAGTGAGTATTCGATTTTTCAGTATAACCGAATAACTGAATAGAATAAGTTTTAAATACCAAACTAAAACTGATTAATTAAATAATCAAAACCAAATTAACTAAAATATTTAAGTTCGGTTAGCCGATTAATCGAAATATAAAATGTAAAAAATAATTTTAAATTAAAAATAATAATGAGACACGATTACAACTATTAATTAATAAATATTTTACCATTTAATATAATTATTATAATAATATTTATTAATATAACTATATTTAAAGAGTTCACTGTACCCACAATATATATTTTATTAAAAATAATTTATTAAATATAAATGTTAATATGTTTTTTTAGTTTTTTAGTTATAACCAAATTTTTGTTTATATAACATAAACTGAAATAACTAAATCCAAATAATCAAAATTAAATTTGATTTGATTCGGTTTTTGGCTACGCTTGCTCATCCTGCCAGTTTCCCTTTGCTTTTAACCTTGGGAAAATGATATACGATGAATAATATCTACTTCAGATTTCCTGTAATACTTTCCTACCCAGCCAGCAACCACGGTTGAGTGTCGTTCGGCTACTTTGTCGTTCTCCATCTCTCCCTCCGACGGACACTCCGCTCCATTCCGTCGTTGTTCATCGGTCTCCTCCACAGCTTCCGCGCATATCTTTTTACCCAGTTCAATGCCTGCTGCTTTGATTTTGGGCCTATTTTGAGTTGAAGGTAAATGATTGTGTGAAAATCTTCATGCTTTTCTGTTTAATAGTTGTCGCTTTGGGGAATTACTATCATTCTATCCTATGCGGTGTTGGTTTAGATAGAAAGAATTAGACTTCATGAGTTGAATATGGCATCAATGAGCTTTATTCCCGCACTCTGTCGGACTCTGTCCACCGTTGTCAGCCCTGCGTGGTTGTTCAAGTAGTGAAGAAGGTTTGAACCCTAGGGCTTTGTTTACTCCCAAAATTTGGTGAGATTGACTTGTTGTTTACTCCCAAAATCCGGTGAGATTGATTTGTTCAACCTGGTTATGAAATTGTTTCCTGCGTCATCTGTTAACTCCGTGGTTGTTCTTGCTTTGTTTTAAATTTTTCAGCTTAAGTTGGCTCTGAATCTAGTCGTGTAACCGTTTGGAAATGTATTGAAATGGGTTGTGAGTACTTGTGCTAAATTATTTTGGTATATGTAGTTGAGAGTAAAAGTCAGCAAATAACGGATGTGGCTCCAAAATAATCAACTTTAGAGGTCATCTAACATTGAAAAGTTTTAACTTGTAAGGAAACTGAAATTGGGATAATTAGTTCAGTATATGACATGCTAATGTAATTAAAAAGAAGAACATTTGAAGATGTTGAATACAGGAGTGGAGGAGAGTATTGAGAGGTAGTAGGTGGTGAAAGGAGTTTGAAGACTGTAAGAGTGATTAAAGACTGCAGTGATAAGCATAGAAGGAAGGGATGGTTTTCTAAATTAAATTAGAGAGTTTTATTCCTAAACAAATATAATGTGAGGCTTGAGAGCTTAAACTAGAGCAGCATATGGTAAGAAACCAGGACCTGTTTTTCTTTTACATCTTAGGAAAGGAATTTTTTTTCTCAAGTTAACATCGTCATATGTTTATACATTCAAACACGTATGTATAGTTGCCACTGATTATATATTAAATGATTCAAACTGCAATTTCATCATTAATGAGTTTGATCAATCTTGTATTCACCAAAAAAAATCTTGGAAATAATCAATTAGTGTGAGACTTTTGGGACATCAAATAATAATATGACTATTTGGAAGAAAACAATGACTAAGATATTCTTCATATAGGGATTGAGAATTAAGGTTATATTTTATGTATTTTTACCTGTATTAGTTGAGCTATGAACCCATTTGGCAAGGTCGCTTGTGAGGCAGATGTGAACTAAGACTGTTGATTTACAATGTTTCCTTTGT